TGATAATATCAGCCCATGGTTATATTTTTCCTATCGGTAGTAGGTAATTTTTTAATCATTTTGTCGGTAGTCAGTAATGTTTTTCGCCCCTTGTCGATAGTCGGTTGACCCCATTCACACCCTCAGTTAATGCAAGACAGTCTTGGATCCTGGATTCCTTAAGTGAAACTTGGATTCCGGATTCTAATCATTAGTGGGATTCCGGATTCTTTGAGCTGGATTCCTGAGAGTCGTTACCTCTTCCCACGAGACAAAATGGCAACTGACCTACATCTCCTCAACGGAGGAGTACCAATTCATGCTTTCAATGTTTGATTGCTGGCGCTACTGTCCGGGATCCGGTTGTAAGTGTGGATGAGGGCGGCGCTCATCTACGTTTTGTTTGTAATACGGTTCGCCACGTTATGTAAGGAAATTCATGAAATGTTGACTCGCCCATAGTAGGTCAGCGGTTAGGTGGGTAACCCTTCAACCCGGGAAAACACATAAACAGGGCCAATGAAAACACTACAAAAGATATGGAATGTGAGTCTTGCTGGGTGAATAATGGACAGTATCATTAGCGCAGCGCGTTATTAGCAAGATGTCTGTGTAAATCAAGTTTCATTAAACAATATAATGCACTGGATGAAACCAGACTCTGGTTCCAGCCTCTCAGATAGTAAGAAAAAGGAGAAGGGCGAAGGCGTTGGCGCCGCCCTTCCTCTCCCCAGATTCCCCCCATTTTCGTGTTCGCGCTTTCTCAACTTTGGGGACTCGACTATCTCGGAGCCTTGAACAGTCTAAGGGTGTAACGGAATAAATTCAAAAATAACAAATGCCGAGATTACTGGGCTGATATAATTTATATGATGCGCATGAATTAGCAAACATTAAGACAAAATGACAAATGAACTACGAGACGGAGCAAATGCAAAACAAAAAGGATTTGACTAACAGAAACAAATAACTCTAAGAGAAAGCACGGGGGAGCAATGCACACCGGAATTTCGAGGCGCATGAATATTGTTTCTGTAACATTTCCCTTACTTCTTTAGTTAATTAGGATACTTTCAAACGATAAGAAAAAGAGATTTTGTAGAAATTCTAGAAAATTTTCTGGCTGCCGGCTTTTAGTTTTTTTCTGAAGACCCTTCCCGTCAGCGAAAAAAAACTATTTCATCAAATTTGTCCGGTATATTCGAGAGAAATCTTCTTCAGGGGTTTATCTTTGAAAAATACTAAAAATAAAGACTGAGACCTACTGAGAAGCTCTTAGAGTGGAATGGAAATCAATCGTATAGCTGTCGCATTTGTCCACTAGAATTTTTTTTCTTGTTTTTAGACTTAAAACCAATAAAACATTCCAGCAGCCAAATTATCTTTATCCAGTGGCTTTTCTGAGGGGCTATGACGGTTGACGGTTAGTTTTCAATTTCCAAATATTTTCAGATACAAGCAGGATGTAAGGTCTTGTAATGTCTGGAAAGAGTGTTTTTTGAGAACATGGGAACTGGTCTCTCCAGTTAAGAGAAAGGATTCTTCAGGAGCCAGAAACTTGTGAAGATCAGCTGAAACAGTGAGATGTGAAATACTTTTAAACTTTTTGACGGTTTATCTTTCTTGCAATTTTGACGGTTGGAAGTAAAAAATGACCTTTTTATTCGGTTTGTTAGGGTACATTTTTGCTCAGTCCGCTTCATTGTATGCGCTTCTCTTCGTAATCATTAATGTTTATTCAGTTTATTCTATTTATTTCGGTGTTGGGCATTTTAACTTTATTGAGGGATATATATTATATAAATAAATTTGTTTTAGGTCAGTTCGGAAATCAAAAGTTCCACCATATCTCAAATATCTTTTGTTAAGAGACAAAGGATGATGCTACAAGCTATCAGAACAGCTGGACCGCACACTTTAGATTCTACTAGCAAGCCTTTGCTGGTCAGTTACGAAGTCCTTGGCTAATAAAAAAGATTTTTGCACCGACCTTGTTGGTGTTGGGATCGATCCAAAAAATAGAAGTTGGACGCACGGTTAATTGTAGGAAACATCATAAGTGTAGTTTCAGTCTTTCACAATTAAAGGTTTAACTGAGGTTAAGAAACACCTCTTCAAGCTTATTTAAGAACCACAGAAACAAGTTCGAAAGATAGAAATAATTACTTCCCTTGGTGGATGTATTCAGCTGTGGAATGGGAAAATAAGCGTTTCCTGTTAACGAAGTTCGTTTATTTAAACCTGAAGTTAGTTCTCAATTTCGCTTCCAAACTTGAATCACTTTCAGATATCCTTATCTCATTAAAATCTTGTCAGTGGGGCCGTGCGGCCTAACACCTTTTTAGTCCTTTGTTCTCAGTTGGGCTATTTTCAGCAAAAATTCACTTACTTTCTTAATTACTTTCAAACTAAAATTTCTTTCGATAGAATCTCAAGAAAATTTGCTTTCCTTCAAACCATGGTTTTACCTTCTTGTATAGGAATTTGGCTAAAGAGATATTTTCAGTTTGGCAAATTTTTTCCACACGCGGCTGAATTCAACTTAATTTAGTATCTTTTGTTCTATCAGTTCTACCACCTCCTAACACCTATTTTTGCGCATAAGAATACTATTGACCTTTCTTAGAAACTACTTAACTTAATAGTTTAGTATAAATACAACCACTTTGTGAGCTTAAAAAGCTTGAAAAATCTTGGAACTTAGAAGAACTAAGAGGCTCAGGAATAAACCGTTGTTCGCCTCAACTTCCTGTGTACCTCGAAACTCTCAAAATCTGTACCCTTACAGGTTGAAGGTTAATTTTTATGCTGTCTGACGGGCGATTGTTGACTCCGGTATTGAGACCCTCTTATCAGTCGATATCAGCTTTTGAACAACTAGAGCCAGGCTCAGGCTCAGCCAGGCTGTTCACTAGGCCTTTCCAGATTCTGCTCTGAAAAAGCTAAAAAGTTGCTAAGAAATATGCCAAAAAGTTGCTCAAAAGTTGCTCAAAATTGAAAAAGTTGCTCAAAAATTTTGTAAAGTTGCTCGAATACTTTAAAGACAGCATGTCTAATTTTAATAACAATTGCTTTGTAATCAACATTAAGGTACAACTAAGAACCTAGTTACAACAAATTAGGCAACCTTTAGTTGAATCTAAGTGGCTAGTTACAAAAAGTTACACAGTAAGTAACAATCTGGTTTACAAATCTAGCTAACTGTTGTTTTCGTGCGATAACGATTAACAATGTAATCACAGATTCACAGTCCGCCATTTTGTTTACACACAGGCTACAGGCCACCCCAACCTAGTTCCCAGGGCTTTTCCCTTCTCTTGGGGGGCGCCCCCCCACGAGAAGGAAAAAGACCTGGAAACGAGGTTTAGGCTACCCAAACCCACTGAATTCTTGTAACAAGACGCCTAAAGTCGTTTCCGTGGACTGCGTTGGTCTATGGAAGCATAATGGCGTTCTATCTGAATTTGGAAAAATTAGGGAAACCGGAAAGGTGTATCATGTTATGAGCATCGATGAGTAGGTTACCTGTATGGGTTGGTTTAATGTGCTTATGACTGAATTTATAGTAGCCTGCGTGGCAGGCTACTATTTCTCCTCAACCCACGTCCCCTTTTTGCTTCCTCACTATCCCCTACCCCTTTTGACACCTGCTGCGCAAGCTAAATTTATAGTTGTCAGTGGTCGCAAGGATGGAGTTGATCTTGTTTTGATCCATCACTATGTAGTTATTTTCGTAGCTCGATTTGGATAAGAAAAAGAAGTTATTTTCTCATCAAAACAAAGTTTACCCGTGTAACTTAAATTGGAATGTTAACGGAACAAGTAATGGAGAACATGCGCATAATGCTATCTGATTAACCTAAACAGGAACTATATGTATAAAGATACGTCATATCTTGGTAGTAAGTTGCCACAGGTAACTTTTTCAAAGAGAAATAAACATTTTAGTTTTAGGTTAATGGGACAAAAAAAAAACAACACATCCGCTTGCTTTATCCAGGGTCGAACCCAGGGTTACAAAGTTCGATAAAGTTCCAATGTTTTAATCCAAGATGAAAGTTTAATATTCCAAGATGCTCTTGATACGGTTAAAACTTAATTGCAATGTGTTTCCAGGGTCTCAAAGTTAACATAGTTCCAATGATTATCCCTGATTCCAAGGTATAATAAGTTTACTAAGGTCCTGATCCATGTCCCATCCAGAAGTCCAATCCATGCTGAAGGCGAGTCGTCGATCGACGAGGACAATGATTTCGCAATTTCACCGCCAATCGTCAAGGGTACGTGTTGAAATTTAGGCGATTTAACCTCCCATCGTCACGGTGTTTTCGATAAGAAAAGAAAAAAAACCGAACTCTAGCTGTGCTCGGCAAAAACTGGCGAACTCCAAATAGAAAAATCTATCGGAAATCGAGTCCGTCAAACAGACGCTACTAAAACCTTATGAAAAGGCTAGACCTAAACAAAAAAGAAACATGAAGGGAAGAAATAATTTGGCTTAGGTCGCCTTTCGTGACTTGCCAGTATCCCGAAGGATTTCGCTGGCTAACAAGCCATCCTAAACCACGTGTGGGAAAACTCAAGAGCGACAAATTTGGCAAGGAACGTTCTGATTTCAATGTTCTTCAGAGGAAGCAAATCGATTAAAAGTCGATACAGATTTTGTACAATCCGATTGGCCGGCTTGGAAGAAGAGATATTCGATAAAGATTTTAGGCAATCCCATTGGCTGGCTCTGCAATTTTGGGTACAACCGAACCGGATTTTTCCGTGGGATGCCTGTGGCACCTACGATCAAACATTTCTCCGTTTCATTATCTTTCTTGAAAAGTAAAGGGGAGGAAATACCGCTTTCGATCCTTCCCTCGGGTTATTCGAAGGACATCTCAGGCTTGATGGAAGTATCGCGAGAATTTGCAAGAAATTAGTTATGCCTCTCCCGCAGCAGACACGATCATCCACCGGTTTTGCAGTGGGTGGTGTCCCACAAGTCATTTCGGCTCTGTTGCTAATGCTTCCGGCTGAAATCGAAATTGTTTTTGCCGCGTCGAGGAACTTTCCCACATTCTTCGTTCGTTGAAGTTGGTTTTGCTCCACGTTATTGAAGATTTCCTGCATTGTAAGGTAATATCTTTCTTTTAGATAGCTTAGCTGTGTAAGGTAAATTTACAATCTTGCCTAACAACACAAAAATAGTAGCACGCAACAGACGCAATGATGCATTCCCTCAGTGATTCAGGTACGTAGGCGTTCTTTCCTCGTTGATCTGACTCTTACATGCATCTAAAGAAGAAAACCACTGAGAAAAACATGTGTCTACTCGGCAAGATTATTCAGTAGGAGAGTAGTAGTCTCCCTTAGTCTATCAAAGCGAAAAGTTTGGATAATTTATACATTGTTCGAGGTGGCTAATTACATAAGCATAATTCGAGTTGAACGTCTGGGCCATTTGATTTTACTGCAGTTAACGCATTCCACCTTCCAGCCCAGAGGGAATGCCAAAAAAACACTCTTGGACTGAAACCTTTTATTTTCGTAGTTATTTAGTAATTGTGGCAATTACAACCATTTTGGGAGTAATTAGTGAGTCATTAATGGCTTCCCGCTTGAGGTAGTCCAAGGAATTTAAAGCCCCATTTGCATGACAAACTCTTACGGCACGGCACCCCTTTACATAGCCTGAGAAAACAGTCTACATTTCATGACGCCACCAGTGGTTTACCCTGTAAATGAAGTCTGAGAAACAAGTGCAGAAATTCCATACTGATGACAAGTCATGATGCATCACCACAGGTAGCCCATGCTTGAAATATGAGCATTGGCGAACATCGCCATTGTTGCGTAACATTCGCAATATAAGGATTTGTATGGAAAAAAACCTATCGTTTCTGTAACCTACAAAAATGAAAGGATTTCCATAAAAAACAGTTTACCTCAATTAAAATGTTTGTTACGTCTCTTCTGTGTGGTCCATGGGCCGATTTATGGCCGTTCTATGGGTTTTTATATAAACGGTTTTCTCTCTATATAAAGGTTTACCAAGGTTGGGCACTCCAGCGAAGTGGCCCAACAGATCCACCAAGGAAAACGGCAGTAAATTCACTCCAACTGTTCCAATCGCCTCCAAATTCCGCGTAAGTAACACACGATAGTTTTCCTTTCCATTCGTTATCTTGCTTCAAGACACCTTTGCACCGAGAGCGAATCAAAGGTCGCAAATCTGTGCAAACTTTTCTGTCTGAAGCCATCGACAGAACCTTGGCTTGAATTCCACATGACCAGTGAAAGATAGCGACACGGCCTGAGACTCAAATTACTCACAGTCGGGGTGGGAGACAGTCTCTTGCTCCCATTGACATTAATACTCGAGAAAGAAAACCACGGGAGCAAGAGACTGTCTCGCACGCCAAGTGTGAGTAATTTGAGTCTCAGGCCGTGTCGCTATCCCTCTATCTATGATCTATCTCACTTAAAATCACTGTATTTTGTGTTACTTGTACTGTTTCTAATTTATTTTTTTAATCGACTTTTTGACTTTTCCTTTTTTTACTGCTGTTCTTTAATACTGAACAGCTTGCTGGTGGGTAGTGTGAAATGTCATATGTCTCCACCCCCAAACCCATGGTGGGCTTGGGGGAGAGAGACTCTGCTCTCAGGAGACCAGTATAAAGATTGTAAAGGCTTCTATGTCCATTAGTGATGGTTTTGATTACAAAGGAGAGACTAAGTCATCTGACACTGAGCTATTGTTCATTGTTCCTGTTCGTACTCAATCAACAGTAGTCACACTCAACTAACATAACATATGACATAACATTAAGCATAACGTGACATTATTTTTAATAAGTACAAATAACTATTATTATTAAACTTTTTAATAAGGTGTATTACTTCCTTTTTTAGTGTTAAGATCCATTGTCCCTGTATTATTAACACCTGAGTTGCACATGGAGGTTGGGTGCCTAAGAACCTGGGGGCCGGAGCTGCCAACCCCTAACCCAAGTAGCAAGAACACCCCAAAAGCCTGCCTTACCCACAACCCAGCCACGAGGCCCGCCCACCACACCCAGCCCCAGCCCAAGCACTCATCACATTGAACAGAGGGTTTAGTGGAGATATAAGGACAATAATAATAGTAATAATAATAGTAAGGGGTGAGGAGGGAGGGGAAAAAACACTAAAACTGAGCAACACTCAGCAAGACACCTTGAACACTACACACTGTAAAACTGCAAGCACATATAAACGTGCACACTTAATTGCAACAGTAAACCACTGACCCATAGGGCACCAGGAATTGCCCCACAACAGGCCTAGTACAGTAACCCACACCCTGGCAAAAGTGCCAGAACATAGGATAACTGCCAGCTTGCCAAAGCATGCCAATAAAATGCTAACAAACACAAATGCCACGCTAACTCCAAGCCAACTTCTGAGCAGCTAGCTCCTGGTCATTAACTAAGTTAATTAACAATTATTCCTTGAGCCTGAGTGGGTCGACTCAGAGGCCATGAGGGCGAGAGGAGTAATTGTTTTAGTAAAATCCAACTAGTTGGTCAAAAATATCAAGACAAAACAACTTTAGCTAGCAAAATGCGATTCAGCCACCACTGTTTTGGTTTTCAAAGCCGGCGCTTTTTGCTTCTAGTGGGTTATAACAGATAACCTAGTAGCAGCTCAACCAATCAGAATGCAGCATTGATAATAGACCACTAGTTGAATTTTACTAAATAAGTATATTAACCTCATTATAACTCTCAAACTTGGCCTGTTGGCATGTACTAGTATTTACTCCGTGTGTTAAGTGTCTTAAACCAACTACTGCAGTTTTAGGTGCAAACACTACCATCCCTCTCAACAAAGTGGCACCATAATCCTCTTCCCGCTTCCAGTCCACAAGATGTTGGTACTTTTTATGCCTTTTCACAACATAGCTGCAAAAATCTTGGATACAACTTGAACTATTGCCCCACTTAATTAAGGACACCTATGTCACTAACATGCTGTCTATCTTCATTGTATTTTTTAAGAGTCTTATATAGCTTTACTGTTTTGTTTGTTTGTTGTTTGTTTTTTTTTTACATATTTTTTAAAGCCTGGGACCACTGTAATTGGCTTACTGCTGTTGTGGTATTCCTGCCTAATTAAGCAGTTATTCTTCTTTGTTTTCAGTGCATGTATATTAATTTTGTTATCCTTTATTTTTTTCTCCCTCTCTGTTTTTTTATCACATTATGGGCAAAGCTAATAAAATAAAATATAATAATAATGTCTTTGGTTAAATTTAGGCTTCTTGTCATGTCACTGACCATTCAAATTCCTTCTCTACTGCGTTAAGTATTGGGAGTTACCTTTTTTGCTTAAAAATGTCTCAAAGTCATAATTTCACTTAACAGTGACATACCATATCACCAAAGTTGTCCAAACTGTTGGGAAAAAAAGGGTTGACTTGGTAATGGCCTCAAGAACCGTGTTAGGGGAATGAGGTGGCATTTGGACCCTTTGTTGTCCTGGGGCTAATCCTGCATAATTTGCATAACTTGCAGCTGTAGATAAATTGAGACTCTTGCAGGGTATAGCTTTTGTAATGTCATATATGGGGTTAGTAATCTAACTTGCGGGAAACTGGGGAAATCCATCAGAGCTCAGACCAGAGAATGTTTTTGCTTATTAACTGAGTGTTCAAAACTGTGTTGGCACCAAATGACTGCCTGTAGAGCTACTACATGTATGCACTTAGTTTAGGTTTTCAAGAAAATAATGTCTAATAGTTAGAAAGTAGCCTGGGCAAATAAGTGGCATTTCGCGATGCCATCACTGGTTTCATTGCAAAATTATGTCTGTGAAACAAGTGCACAAATTCCGTACTGATGAAATGTCAATACCCAGATCTGGTAGTGTTTTTGATTGGTTGAAGCAAACTTTCAGCCAATCAGACCCTAGCTACCCAGATCTGGGTAATGAAAGGTCACCAGTATGGAATTTTTGTCCTCATTTCCCAGGCGTCATTTTGCAGGGAAACCAGTCGTTGCCTCGTGAAATGTTGGCTGATTTCTCAGGCTGTTATAAGAAAGGGTGGAAATGATTACATGAATGTATTTTTAACAGTTTTCTATTACCTACCTCGGTAACACGGTCACCTCGTTATTATGGCCACTTTTTTCTGAAGGCTATACATTTCCTTACAAAAAAAAAACATTAATGTGGTCACCTGTTGATATGGCCAATGGCACATTTTGAAATCCCAAACAATGGAATCTCTTATAATGTCACCCCATCAATACGGCCACTTGTTCGAAATTTAAAAAAGTTTAATTTTGTAAATTGCCTGTGACATGTCAATTTTATTGACCTAGTACTCTGAGCCTGTTCTTGTACTGTTTTTAGATGAAGTCATCTAGACGCTTGCGTTTAGGCGAGGATTAAGTCTAGTCATAAGAGGCATGAATCTTATTAACTTGAAGTCCTGGACATAGAAAGTCAAAGCACAAAGGGAAGTCACCATTTGAACACTTACTAGTGATAAATTTTTTGTAATCATTGTCTATGTTTTGCTTTCTTTTAAGTGTTTAGCCATTCTGATCATGCTTGGAAATGGCATCTTTTCCGGAAAGATCCCGCAAAGTGCAAGTCACCATTTTGGCCTCTGCATGGGGATCGAGCAAAGGAGGTCTGTCCACCATAAACAGAGAATTAGCCATTCAGTTCGCTAACTGCCCTGAAGCGGAAATCACTTTCTTCCTTCCAAAATGTAGCGAAGAGGACAAAAAATTAGCCCTCCAACACAACGTAACAATTATCGAGGCAACTCGCCGGCCTGGCTTAGAAGAACTGGAGTGGCTTCTCTTTCCACCAGAAAATTTACAAATAGATGTAATCGTTGGTCATGGGGTTAAACTTGGCAAACAAGCTCAAGTCATTAAAGAATCTAAAAAGTGCAAATGGATCCAAGTCGTGCACACAGACCCAGAAGAACTGGGAATGTTTAAGAACTATCCCAACCCAATTTTTAAGGGTGAAGAGAAACATAAAACAGAGGTAGAGTTGTGTGAAATGGCAGATCACGTTGTAGGAATTGGATCCAAGTTGAGTGAGGCCTTCCGCTCGTATCTTCGAGGATGCAAGAAGCATAAAAGTGTGGTGGACTTGACGCCCGGAGTATTTGAAGAATTTGTCAGTGTGATTCAGGACGTTGAAGAAAGAAAACAACGTAGTGTCTTGGTGTTTGGTCGTGGCGACGCAAAGGATTTCGAACTAAAGGGATTGGACATCGCTGGAAAAGCGGTTGCTGCATTACAAGATACACGCCTTGTGTTTGTTGGCGCCCGAGATGGAAAACACGAAGAAATAGCGAATAGGTTAACCGAATGTGGTGTTCCTAAAAGTCGCTTGAGAGTAAAAGGATTTATGGAAGACCGAGAGATTTTAAAGCGCTTGTTTCACCAAGTGGATCTTGTAGTCATGCCTTCACGAACAGAGGGCTTTGGGTTGGCAGGACTTGAGGCCCTGTCAGCTGGTCTCCCTGTGCTTGTCAGCCGTAACTCGGGGTTTGGAGAAGCACTGTGGAGTGTACCATTTGGTTCATCCTTTGTAGTAAATTCCGAGGACCCCACTGATTGGACTGCAGCCATCTCGAAAATATGGGCCAAGGACAGAAAAAGTCGACTTGAGGAAGTGAAAACTTTGCGCGATTCGTACGACAAGAAATACAACTGGGCCAAACAGATAAAAGATCTTCTTCACAAGATGATTAGCTGGACTAACGGTATGAATGTCAATTGCTTTTTTTTATTGTACTTTAATTTAAGCACTATGACAACGCCTGCTGATAATGGCGGCCATTTTTAGTTTTCTTAATTTAACCCCTCCTTTAAATCAACAATTTTTCATGTTTAGGTCGGGCTGTCCACTCTGAAAAATTTATTTGGATTACTTAAAACGCTGTCTAGAATGAAAAGAAACAAAGTTTGTTTCTTGTAAATGGTGTTATATACACCCAAAGTTTCCAGCTACTCACAATTCAGAAAACAAGAAACCTGAGCCTTTTTACTCTTTCATACATTCCTAAAAGACAACAATCTTGTCTTTTTTTCTGCAGTTGATTTTTCAAATGTCCAGAGCGTCCCCGAAACAATAGGTGGAACCGTTGTATCTTCTCACCTGGCTTCTCAGGCTACACGAGGCACGACAGAGAAACATGAAGGTAACACTTAAATCTAAAGCGTGATCGGAATAAACAGCGTCAACGATTTCTCTTCCGATTCTGTTTTTGTTGGTCGGTTACGGTTCAATACCGGAGTCACCTTTTAAAGCCTATAAGAGCTATCCCGCCATAAAACTTATTTCTAGTCTTTGGAGAAGAGGATCTTGAGCAGAAAACTTGGTAGCGTTCACAGCGGTAATACCTTAATTTCGCAGTGATTTAAGTCATGTCGGTTACGCGATTATTTCTTGCCCTCGGTGAGGAATGCATGACAGAATAACTAAGCACATATGATAAACAATTTTAACCCTTCAAAGTTCGTTCCTGTAGTACGTTTCAGAAACGCCTATGGATATGACACTGATTGCCTTTTGTATCTTATTTGTTTGTAAGGTGAGTGTAGGGTTGAAAGGAAGAAGACAAACAATGAGGAGGACATCACGAAGAACCTTCAAACTGGAGAAAAGGCCAGAAAGACCATGGGCGATATCGTGGCTTCCGGATCTACGAGTAAGAGCTCATGATAAAGCTCAACTTCGCTGCTTCCCAGCATCAGTCTTCTCTTTTCCTTTCTCTTGCTTTGCTTCAGGTTTTAGAAAGAGGACACAGCCCGAAAATAATAGACCTTATCTGTTCTGTTGTTTTGTTACTTCGTTGAAATCCCACGACTGTCTTCTGCAAAACAGTCCCTTTCCGAATTGATCATATTTACGGTCGTTCTAAAAAATGTCGACAAAGAAGGCGTTCTCTTGGGAGCAACGCTTGGTTTGTGATGAGAATGGGGTTTAAAGCGAATAATGTCTATACAGTGTACTTAGATTTTAACACACGTACTGTATCTTGAAGGATTTTACTTTAGTAGATCTAGGAAACAAATAATGATTTTGTTTGATTTTTCTTTTAGGTCTTGATTCAAGTCAGTATACCTCCACCAAGGGGAGATCAAATTATTCCCGGTTATGTCGTCTTCTAATCAGCTTGGGTTCAAAAGCCCTCAGAGAAACGTTTGACAGAATAATTCCACCACAAAGTCTTCAACGCATTCTGAAACGGAACCCAGCACACTCTAAACTTCAGTCACGTCGAAAGGAAGGGATACTAAACTCAGTCCAGTGGAGTAAACTGTATCCTACCACACCCTCCGAAGTTTCATCCACAGGCTTCGACATCCCCCTGCTAATGGTTCTTCTAAGGACAATCTGTGATCTGAGTCCTCCACCCGCTGGTTGGGATGCCCCTCCTCTTCCCGAAGACCTAAGCCCTGAGTCTGACATTGCGCGTCTGAAATATTTCTTCAACGCCGTGTCTAGTCATACTGGAGAAGGTTTCATTAGTGATGCTGTCTTCAGTAGCTACTGGCAGCAGATCCATGACACTCTGGTACGATTGGGAGGAGCTAATTATGAAGATGTCGTTGAGCAAATGAGCTGTCAGGAAATGGACCTCCTAAATGAAGAGCATTTCAGAGAACTTATCAAACAGTGGAGGAAGGTGGAAGACAATATTAAAGACAAACTGAATGAACTGGAAAGTGCAGAGGCTTTAAAGATGGCAGGTGAGCTTTTGTGGTAAAAATATATCTGCTGTATTAACATGGCTAGAGTTTTTAAATATTATAATGGTATAAGAAAAATTTTTGTATGGTCAGTTTGGCAACGAACGGTAATTTTTGTTATGTACTTTGCTATGTATAACTAGGTCCTCCCTGAAGAGGTAAAATTGTCATTGAACGTTTTTAATTTATCTTAAGATTAGGCAAACGTAAGTTTTGCGAAGACACCAGATGCTGAGTCAGAATCACGCTAGGTCTTGAGTAAACAGTCTTCCAACGTACTTTGACAACTTTGTTGTGGCATTGCTATGAAATTGCAGTAGTGGGGAAGGCACAGAATTAACCTTTTTTTGCGGGGGGAATTTCATTAACTTGCTGAGGAATACGTTAACGCCGGTGATATCATACATCTCATTAAGATAGGATGATGTCATAGTTTGTTTTTAGCTGGCAAGGAGCAAGTGACGTCACAATTTCCTAGAGTTGACGTCATCAAAAAATGTTGAGATCATAATCTATAAACAGAAAGTGATTTTTATATAATTAGCTATTTGCTATAGTCTTCTGATTGATATTGTAGAAACTGTTATGTGTTTAAAATAAAAGCGAGCAAATTTTGAACGTGTTATCTTTGCAGCTTATAGTAAATGAGAAATCTTTAATCAGTAAATTATTTTCACTTAAAATCGGTTATAAACAAAACCAAGACACAGAGGTTAACTGAAAAGTCTTTACTTCAAAAGAAGGAAAAAGGAGGTTACTAGGCGAATGCTAAATCGTACTAATTTTTCGGGCAAAACATGAAAACGAGGTCGAAGCGCATCGAAGCGAAAAACTGTCTATCAAGCAAAAATGTCAATCTTTGTTTATTTGACTCTGTAGAAAGAATTGCACAGGGTATAAAAATTCTATAGAAAACATCAGGTGGTTCTAAAGTAAACCCTTACTCTTTTGGTTCTTAAATAAGCTCTATTCTAGTAACTAATGAAAAAAAATTGGAATAAGAGGTGCGATCGCCTAGCAACACATGTCGTCTTATTTAGCGCTAAAAATCGGATATATAAACAAAACACACACACAAACACATACACAAAGTGGAGCTGAAAACTCTCTATTTCAATTTTGACTCACCATTACAAAAAGCGTTTTCTCCGTTCTATCTCGAGGAAACGACTAACTATTGAAGTCTCAGCGTTTGATGAGCTTATGGTCTTGTCAATTCCCGCGCCGTTAGTCAGTTAATTATGAGGGTTAGCAAGCCCACAGTTGCATACAAATTGGCTCCACAGTAAAAACCCCAAGGGAGAAACTTGACTTATTATTATAAAAACACTAACAATTAATCACTTAAGAAGGATCAATTAATTAACACGCGACAAATAAATTGACAAGACACGAGATGCAGTTTTAAAAACTTTATTGAACAGCAGTGACAAAAAGAATCAAATACACAGCGATTTGAAAGAGATGGAAATTAATCCTCTTCTTCGCCCATGGAGTACTTGTAAGGTCTAACTCGAAATTTCTTATGCCGAGTTCGTTTCCTCTGTTTGCCATGAGCATTATGATAATCCAAATAATTTACAAATTGAATCCGAAGCCTTTTGCGCTGCGGGCCTTGTGATGGGGTTTCTACTGTGGGAGGAGGGCTCAGGAAAGCAGGATTTACGGGTTTTGGTGGGGTGGAGCTTTCTTTTTCAGGTTTTTGTGAGATAGCCGGTTGTGTTAATTTAGGTGTTACGTTAAAGGGGTTTAGGGGAGTGGCGAATGCTGCCGTTCCTGTCGAAGAATCTTGTGTGCTTGATGTCAAGTCTGGAACAGTGCTGCTTATTTCTTCCGGTCGTGTTCTTGTATTTAATTGTTCTTTAAAAGCCAGGTATCTGTTTTGCAACTGAAAGTATCTCTTAGCTTTTTCATCGTCCCGAAGATCGTTTCGAGAAAGCAAGTCATCCATGTTGCCCTGTATTTCTTGCATAGCTGGAAGAAGTGGGACAGGCGAAAGATTTTGCTGCTTTAGATATTTTAAAAGCTCTTGAGGAATATTTTCTTGAAACCCTGCTTGGTTAAAACCTTCTTCACTGGGCAGGACGTTTGTTCGCAGTCGACAATTATCTTGGGTAGTAGTTTTCAGATCAATCAGAAGATAACCAAAAGGTCTTTTTTAAGCCTCTTCGCACTGATTTAAAAAGAAATCAGTTTGCCCGGGATACATTTGCTTGGCAAGAGTCAAGATTTGCAATTTGTCTCGTGGATTCTTGAATAGCACTAAATAATGGCTGTTTAGGCTTATACTGCAACTACCTTTCCCCTGGTGAAATAGATTCTGCACTATATAAATCACGCTTAGATTGCGATTATGAGAACCACGAGTAAAGAGGTTCACAATTCGCTTGTCTTTACTGGCGTCAGGCATCTGATCATCAAACACGATCAAATTCCGTTTGCTCACATCAAAATAGGAATCCTGCTCCAAAGCCGTAGGAATTCCGTTGACGAATTCGATGGGTGACATGGCGACTCGCATTTTTGTATACGCGGGCTGCCAGTGTGAATAACACCAAACAACCCTCTCCGGAGGAGGGTAAATTATCTCTGAAGCTTGTTGTAATAGAGATCGAGCCTAGGCCGTTTTTCCGAACCCGGTCATTCTGGCAATCATGGAGGTAAAAGGATGCTCGAATCGAAACCGCTGACATTTCTGTGAAAACGGAACTGTTTGAAATGGGGTGAGACCAACATTGCGGTGTTAAGACATCACGTGCCTTTGCATGCTATCCTTTCTACTAAATGATTTTTCGCAAACAGAACAGAACCAACTCATGTCAACCGCTCAGGAGCGGAATGTAGACTGAGAAAATGGTTGCATGTTGCGCATTGATATAGTTTTGAAGGCCATAAAATTCTACAGTTTTCCTCCACCACCGCCACCACATTTCTATTGTTTTCCCACCACCACCACCGCCACCGCCACCGCCACCACCGACACAACCACATTTTCATTGTTTTCTTCCACCACCACCACCGCCACCACATTTCCATTGTTTTTCTCCACCACCACTACTACCACCACCACATTTACTATTTTTTTCATCCACGAGAGTCAAAAAAAGACTGCAAACTACTATCATAAGTTCAGTTTGTCGCAGTGTCTCAAGTTGTCAAGAACAATCGTGGTTTTCTTCAATTCTTAGCTGTTTGTTCAGCTCATCAGCGACAGTTTCTTTTACGGACAGCCAGTCCAGAACAACTACATGCATTAGTCCAGTCTTATACAATATACCTATGGAATACATTCTTATCCCCGAAGAAAATAAGCGTAACGTGTTGCCATATAAGGATGCTCTAGTAAACCTAGCAGAAACAAATGTCCCTTACAAAACAAAGAAGCGAATCCTTGTACAAGAGGGTGATGGTTTTATTCAAGACCTATTGGTACCTGCTGTTACAAGCTTAGGATTTTTGATGCTATAAAAGAGGAAACAAAACTATAAGTTACTCATTTGAAGCTAAATCTGTCACGGGTACTCATCAAAATGAAGAGAAAGATAGAGTTGGTTGAAAAAGAACACGAGAGTGAACATGAAGAAAACGAAAGTTCTGGTGATGAAAGCGAGGATGAAGAACCAAGAATAAAAGATGTTTTGAGCCATCTTTCCCAAGCAGTGTCGGAAAAGCGTGCTTCTAATTTGCTGCATATTATGGCTGCTTCCAAAGATATTCTTTTCTGGACTCCCAGCGGACAATTACTTCGAAATAAACGCACTATTCCCGTCACAAACATCGCCGAGCTAGTTGAGTATGTGTTACTCCCTCATAACAATGAGGTTACCAAGCCTCGTGCGTTGAATACGTTTCTAGATGGACTTGCAGAGTTAGGAATCGATAAAGGTTTAATCAAGAACAAAAAGTTGTTATGTGATTTAATAGAAAAGGAAAAAGGCTACCGAAATGTAGAAAAGCCTTCCGATAACGAGAGTAATAATGAGGAGAGTTCATCGGATATTGAAAATCAGGAGGAGGAGGAGGAAGTGGCTTCTGAGAATGGCGTTGAAGCTGAAGGCACCCAAGAGAGCGACAACGACACTGAAAACGACAGTCAGAAAACAGAAATTAGTAGCCCTGAAACGTCCACCACCTTTCACTCTAAAAGTCCCTGTGAACATTGCGAAAGAAGACGAGAAAAAAAAGGGAATATTCCTCTTCAGCCCCCAACAAATCACGGCACGTAAATAGTGCAAGCAAAAATCACAATACACCGAGAAATTCGGGCTTTGCACTCTCAGAAACAAAGGTGCTGAAGTATGGAAGGCGATAATGTTTCTAATGCTGGGTTTTTATACGGAGCGTGAGAAGAAGGTTTTCACCCTGTTCGTTCTACCATCAAAGCTAAGCAGGCACCCAGCCTAATTTGTTTAAACCTTCATTTTGAACTAGCTTAAAATGTGTGTTTTTCCAAAGAATATGCATGTAACATATGTGCTGCTTTGTTATTCTTTTGTTATTCAATAAGTTGTCATATATGAGGCTTTCTTCTGCAATTCCGCACCTTAGTGGGAACTCATGGAATTTCGCGCCAGTGTCAAAAAATATTTGCATTCGCTTAGTTAGTTGGATTGCACCAATAACTCTGATTGCACATTCTGCCGTTTGTATAAATTTATTGAGCTTTTGCCATAGTTTTCAACCCTCACCCTAACCCACAAAATACACAGAGTCGAATAGATATCCACAAGTAGACAAAATTGCGAGATGCGATGTCTGGAGACTTCCCGGCGTCTTTCCCAATTTGTAGGAGAGGAGATATACAATGTTGTTCCCTTTCTGTTTATAAATTATCGTATTTATATGGCACTCGATGAGACAATGAAAACGATTCTTATTTACGTTTGACGTAGCAAATATAGAAATAACCTGCGATGAGGCCTTCCAAAGAAAATGGGAAAATCTAAGGACCGCCTGATCGCAGGTTAATGGAGAAATATTAGATATCGTCCCAGGATATCATCCAGCAAACAAAAGCAGAATTGTTTACTTTTTTCCTTGTTAGCGGAAATGCTTTATCTTTTTTAAACGACTTTTAAAAACCGTTAGCACCGAGTGTGAATTTATTTGCAGCATACGCGTATCGGCCGTATGCGACTGCTAGACACAAATACCGCAAACGTACCCTCTTGTTTTAGAAAAAAATTACCAAGCATGTTTGTGCTCATTTATCCTTTTACGAGCCAGATATTTTGCATAAACAATGGTATCATGCAAAGATTTACTTATAGCGAATAAAATCGAGATGACCGTTTAAAGTATAATGGAATCCAATTTTTTTTCATTAGTTACTAGAGTGGAGTTTATTTCAGAACCAAAAGAGTTAGGGTTTACTTTAGAACCATCTGTTGTTTTCTATAGAACTTTTATACCCTGTGCAATACTTTCTACAGAGTCAAGTAAACAAAGATTGACATTTTTGCTTGATAGGCATTTTTTCGCTTCGATGCGCTTCGACCTCGTTTTCATGTTTTGCCCAAAAAATTAGTACGATTTCGCATTCGCTTAACCTCCTTTTTCCTTCTTTTGAAGCAAAGATTTTTAAGTTAAGGTGACTCGACCCAATTTTTTGGGGGGGTACCATCCTACTTTGAAGCTCTCTGGTATCCCCACCTTTACTTTTATCGTAAGTCTAACACATAGAATGGATAACAGATAGATCAATCTACAATATAACATAAAATTTTTGGCGATCGGAGTAAATGTCACGTAATTATAATGCCACGCCCCTTTGAGGTCTGAGTCGAAAATCTGCTGTTGCCGGCATTTTTTCGTGAAAATCTCTCGGCTACACATAGCGCGCATTAGTGCCTTGCGCTGAACAGAGTCTCACCAAAATCGCAAAGACCCAATTCGAGAAATTCAGCGGTTTCCAAATTTAGGTCATAATTTATGCAAAAATGATAAGCAAACTTTACACGATTATATCTAATAAACTATGTGACTTATCCCCTTATTTTGGGGATCGTTATAACAGATGGGTCCTTGCAAGTCAGCAAAAAGCTTTAGGGCCTTGTAAATGCGCGCGATTTCGAGCAAAGCAAACATATAGAAATTATAGTTTTAGCCATTTGTTGACGTTTGTCAGCGTTTAAGATTCCTTCTCACGAAAAAAAGCATTTTCTTAAAAATTCGAAGTTTTTTTTCCTTCAAATTTTTTCAGGGCCACAATTGATTAACTAACTAACCGGATTCTGAATTTCATGGTCATTGAAAAACTGTGACATTATCTTCTATAAGCCCAAACTTGAGTAAACATTGAAGATTTTTAGCGTTTTGGCTGAGTTTGTGCTTTGGGAGTTGTCTATTGTGAGCATTCGGAAGTCAGCCAAGCGCGGCCATTGCACGCGTGCTGAACAAGAATTCTGTATAATGACAGACTAGAAACAATAGACAACTCCCAAAGTCACATAGTTTTTTAGATATAATCGAGTAAAGTTTGCTTATCATTTTTGCATAAATTATGACCTAAATTTGGAAACCGCTGAATTTCTCGAATTGGGTCTTTGCGATTTTGGTGAAACTCTGTTCAGCGCAAGGCGCTAATGCGCACTATGTGTAGCCGAGAGATTTTCACGAAAAAATGCCGGCAACAGCAGATTTTCGACTCAGACCTCAAAGAGGCGTGGCATTATAACCACGTGGCATTTACTCCGATCGCCAAAAATTTTATGTTATATTGTAGATTGATCTATCTGTTATCCATTCTATGTGTTAGACTTACGATAAAAGTAAAGGTGGGGATACCAGAGAGCTTCAAAGTAGGATGGTACCTCCTCGAAAAAAACTGGGTCGAGGCACCTTAACCTCTGTGTCTCGGTTTTGTTTATAACCGATTTTTAGTGAAAATAATTTAATGATTAAAGATTTTTCATTTAGTATAATCTGCAAAGATAACACGTTCAAGATTTGCTCGCTTTTATTTTGAATACATAACAGTTTCAACAATATCCAATCAGAAGACTATGGCAAATAGCTAATTACAGCGTGTCCCAAAAGTTCGTTCCTCTACTTTATAAGTCTGTGTTTCAGTACGACTGAACTTGTTAAGCAAATCATTGAAGCAAAAGTTGTGTCTTTCAATCTAATTCACTATTTTCGTACTTGTTGTGCCATCTTTTGACTCGAATGTGTACTCCCGCACCAATGGTGCCCGTGCGCGAATATATTTTCCAGCCACATATTTTTGGTATTTTATAGCCCGTATTTCTCGAACTCCTTCCT